GTTTGGGGGCCATTCTCTGCCTGGACAGCGGTGTCTCCGCTGTCCCCCTCCTCCCTCTGCCTCGGTCGCGGAAACAGAGGGTGCAGGGGTGGGAGGGAGCGGTGGGAGGGGCGCCCCAGCCCTCGGAGACCGGGAGACCGGGAGACGGCCGCCCTGCACAGCCCTCCCCGGGCAGGCGCGTGCTCCTGTGGGTGGGGCCTTTGCGGGGTCTGGCAGACCCCCCAGCTGGCGGGGGCCAGAGGCTGGGGCCAGCGCCCCTGGCGCGGCGGAGCTGGTCGCCGGTCCTCCAAGCGCCTCCCAGTGTCACCCTGCCCCCGCGTCTGCCTCGCGCCTTTCTGGTGCTGACGCTGTGGCCTGCGGGTCCCCCGAGACCGTCCCCGGGCAAGGCGGGTCCTGCCTGGCGCGGCGGAGCTGGTGGCCGGTCCTCCAAGCGCCTCCCAGTGTCACCCTGCCCCCGCGTCTGCCTCGCGCCTTTCTGGTGCTGACGCTGTGGTCAGGCTCGGCCGCGTGCCAGCCGCTCCCACGATGGCCGGCGAGAGGGCAGAACGCGCGCAGCGTTGAACTCCGGCCGCCGGCCGGGGCGTCCGTCCGTGTTGCCTAGTGCTGAGAGGCCGGGGATGAAGACCCTGGAGGGACCCCTGGCGGTCAGGGGCTGGGGCGCAGCCCCGCCAGGCTGGCCAGCTTCGCCCCGCGCGAGTGGCCCGCCCTGCCGACCTTGCCTGCCCGCCCGCGGCCCCCTCAGCCGTGGGTTCTCAGCGGCCTGTTGTGCGCCCCACTCTGTCTCTGGTGCGTCCTCTCACTCCCCACACCTCCGGCCTGTACCCCACTTCTGTCTGCATAAATAAATAAATCTTAAAAAAAACAGCCGGGGAAGCAAAGACTGACCCTGACGCCTGGAGCTCGGCCCCTCACACGCGTCTCGGTGACCAGCTCTGTCCCAGCCCCGGGCCCAGCGCCGAGCCGGGGACCTCCCTGCACGGGGCCCACACTGGGTGGGGCAGCGGCTGCAGACGGCGTCCCGCGCCGGGCCGCAGGGACGCCCCGTCTGCAGTCGTCTCCCGGCTCAGTCCGGGGAGCAGAAAGGGCTCTGGCCCGCGTCCACCCCGCTCTGCCTGCCGTCTAGGCCTGGAGGGGAGACCGGTCCGCTCGGGGGCAGCAGGGCATCGCCGCCAGCCTGTGCCGGGCCTGGGCGGGGCTTGCGGTTCGTGGGGGGAGGGGCCTCTGGGGGAGGCGGCCGTCGCCCCTTGGACACAGGCCTCGGACACAGGTGACACGGGGCGGGGCGGGTCAGCGCGGGGTCCATCCAGCAGAGTGTGGGACCCAGACCTCACGGACAGCGGGGCCAGCCCAGGGCACGCCTCGGGCCATCCTGGGGGGGGGGGCGGCCAGGCCTCTGAGCATGACAGCGGCCAGCGCGGGCCCCTGGGCACTGGCGTCCCGGCGGTCACGGCCGCGGCTCCGCCTGCGCAAAGCTCTGGGGGACCCAAGCGATGGCCGGTCTGCCCTTGTTCCCGGGAAACCCCGTGTGACCCCCAAAGCCAAGCGCAGAGTCAGGGTCCCCAAGCAAGGAACAAGCGTCACCCGAGCAGCCCCGCTGCCCGCCGGTGCCCCGCGGCGGGTCTCAGCAGCCGGCTCTGCCAGGTGGGAGGCGGCCGGCTGCGGGGCCCCTCACCGCCTGCCCCGGCGGCCCTCAGTGCCCTGCCTGGGCTGGGCCCTGTCCTGTCCTTCCCTGGAGTAAACCTGCCCTCTTGGCCGAGAGAGTGAGGCGAAATGCCCGTCCACCCCACAATCGCGCCCGTCTGTCACGAGTTCATAAAGAAAGGTGTCTCTGGGGACACAGAGGCCTGCAAAGGTCGGGAAGCCCGAGGGGCCTCCCGAGACGGACCAGGCCGAGCTGGCGCCCGCCCTGGCGCGGTGGCCGGGGCTCCCTGGGCAGAGCAACGGGACGAGGCCAGAGAGCCCCGTGCGGACAGGTGCGCCCCGGTCAGTGTGTCCACGCAGAGCGCTCTGGAGAGTGCGGGACGGAGCAGAGATGGAGCGTCCGCGCGCAGCACCGGCTCCGGGCGCCTCCGGCAGCCGCGATCCCCTAGCGGCGTTGGAGAAACGGGGTCCCGCGTCCTCCTGACCCTCCGTCGAGTCTCCTTTCGGAGACTGGGGCTCCCCACGAGTGTGAAGGTGGTCCGGTGGGCGCTGCACGACCCGGGTGTGAGGGACGGAGGTTGTGTGGGCCTGGGCGTGGCCACGAGAGCGCGGGGG